CTCAATTAAAACAATTCCCGGAGAACTTCAAGCTTAGAGTACTTCAATTTATGATAATTTAATTGTCTATACCTTTTTCTTAATTGTAAAATCATTTTTCAAACGTTAAGTGTAAGCAATAATTCAATAATAGATACAATCTTCTAATGAGAAACAACTGATCTTTTATTAAAATTAAATTTAAATCTATAAATAATTTTAAGAAATATTTGCCAAAAAATAAATACAAAACTTTAAAAATACATAAATTTACAATAAATACGATTAGCCATAAATTGTATTGATGAGTGGGAGGAATAAATTGTCCATAACGCTAATTCATTTAATTACATACTATATCATATGGTGTACCATAACTATAGCTTATAGTTTTACACTTATACACAGTTAATTTATACAATATTAATTTAATTACTGTGCTTTCGGTAATATTATTATGCATAAGATACCGATCAATAATAGATTTACTTTACATTATATCAGTTAATATTTAGCTTATGTTTTAGTGTAAACAGTTAATCCCAAATAGGGTTTATGCTAATTTAAATGCATAACAATAAATAAATACAAATTTATATTTGTAAAATTGATGTCGATTTATAAAGTAATAAATTATTTGATGTGATTTACACACAGATGTCTCGAAGACAACCATTTCTCAGTGCTTTGGATTACATCTTCTATATTGATCTTCATATTGAAAAAGAAAGACTTGAATGTTATGACCAAAGATTTACATCACTTCAAGCATATGACACAGAATTACCAAAACTGTGTGATATTCTGCAGAAATTAGTGCACGATTTGCAATCATCATCCGATCTGTAAATCATTACCTTTTAATAAAATAAAGTGATTTATGTCTCACATAATTGTTTGTAATTGTTATAGATTTTTGAGCGAATTTGTTGAAAATGATGGCATATATTGTTTGCTTAATTTGCTTCGTCAGTGTCTGAATCGACAACAATCTCCCGGAACCGACACAACCGATGGCACGGATTTCGCAAACTCTAAGCAAAGATCCATTCGTAACAAAGAGCGTCACCATTACCTGAAGCGAGCGCTGGTTAGACACAGCCATACCTTAATATACATTAACATACCATTAATACAACACACAAAAGCTGATTGATTTCTTTTCATTGATTGATGTTTTAAAAGCTTTACACTCTATTATTACTTAATTTATTTCACACATTAAGTCATCAATGATTCTGCAAATCATTTGAAAAGCTTTTTCTTAAAAATGAAGCGAAACATCGATATAATAAATGAATTTATTGGAACATTAAGTTAATTGAAACTATAATCTTATTTTAGAAACACTTACTATATATGATGTAAGAAATCGATGATCTTTTTTATTGAGTTAATTATTATAGTTAAGAGTGTTTGAAGGGTTCTCGAGGTTTCAACATTGTTTACTTATTGTTTTTAGGCTAATAAAGTGTGGTTTGAGAAAGTATTAAGGTCATTTTAAAGTTTTACTATACTGTATACTGTTATGCCTAACATCTAAAAATATAATCTATTTTATAGATTATTTTTAGTATAATTAGAAACCCGTATATTCTGTACTGTTGAATGGATTGGTGACCCCCGCGTCCCTCACATCTCATTACGTTTTATATAGAGTACAATATTATACAGAATTAATGTAATATCAAATTCATTTATTATATTTAAATATAAGTATTTTTACAAATTATTGGTTATAATTATGGTGTAATTATTCAAATGAGATCTAAACCACTGACATCACCTCAATGCCCATCCCATTAGTTTGATTTTTAAAAACAAATATTCAACAATAAATCAAACAAATGTATGATTGAATTTTTATTCTTACGTTTAATATACAAATACAATAACAAATTTAAAATGTATATATTATGTAATAATTGAAGTCTATTTATGATTTAATTTGAATATAATTTCATTTCAATTGATTGATAGTATTTATCGAAATATAATCTCAAAAATTATCATATGTTCACAGAATGATGAATACGATTGTCTCGTTTGCTTAAATATCGCAGTCAAACGAAATCCCGTAAGTGTTGAGCATATTTTTGATTTTAAAATAATTTTTATTACAAACAATCAATCATTTAATGAAATATTTTAAATTTTAAAATTTGCAGAAAGCAATAGAGAAAATGGTATCGCATAAGACGGGTCTTTCAACACTCACTTCTTGTATTGTTAGTAATTTGATTAAATCACGACTCATAGCACTTCAGGTACGAGTGAATTAGGCAGTGATTGATTGGGAACACGCTTTTAATGTCTGCTGTCTATGAAATGCATTACTTACAGCTGTTGACTAAAGTATGTGACCAACCATTTGGTACAAACAGAGTCCTCGAAGCCATGTCCACAATGAGGATAATCTTTGGCGAATCGGTTCGCTTCAAGTTCTTGGTCTCAATGCTTAACTCATCGCATAATTGTTCGCCGAATGGCATTGAATGCAATGCACTCTTTCTATTGAATGCTATTCTCAGTAAAACCACTAATTGTGCCGAAAAGATAAGACTTCAATGCGAACTCCGAGAGGCCGGTCTTGATATCGACTATTTGCAAAATGTATTCATTTTAGTTTACTTTTATGTTTAAAATTAATTATTATTTTATATAAAATACACAAATTGTTACTTAAGACGGTGTCTATAGTTGCGTACAATTATAACAAAATTTTACACAAAGATCGATAACTATCTATATTGTTATATTAATATTATGTTATAATATCACTGCAGATACAGTGCAATAGTTTTTACATACCTATTCACGGCTTCAAGATTTGCGTTGACTTGAAGTAGTCTTAATTATATAATTAAATTAAAGGCAATTATTTGATAAATATATTTAAATATTAAATAGTAAAGTATAATTTTGTTAACATATCTATAATTATCTTTATTTAACCACAATTTAACAGATAACTATTTAGTGCAACTAAACTTTTATATGCGAAATTTACTTATATTTTTATTTTCCTATATTTTATAATTAAACTATAGTTGACATTTTACTGTACAGTATATGGCATATTTATTTTTAGAGTGTAATAATTTATATGTTAATAATATTTAATTTGCATATATATAGCGTCTCATCAAAAAGAATATCCCAAAGAGTGAAGTAATTTGGAGAGAAATTCAAACATTTCGTAATCAATACATAAATCTAAATGAAAAGAAAAAACTCAATTCTGGCGGAAAGGATGAACTGAAAGAAGAGGTCCACATATTGCAGAAAGCTCTCAATGTATGTCTCAATTGCACAATCAATCATCACATATATAAATATGATTTATTATTTACATAATTATTATGTGATGTGTTAACAGAAACTGGAAGCCGACAAAATCAGTCTAATGACGATTGAAAGAGAAGTAAATCTTATTACACATGTTTTAGGGATTATAATTCCTATAATATATTTGATGTTATTTTTGATGATTAGTTGAAAGAAAAGTGCGAGGATTTGGAGCAAGAAGTGGATCACTTGAAGAATAAATTCAATGTTTTAATACCTGTCGATAAGAAGGTATCTCAGCGTCCGGGCAGTGATAATGGGACCGGAGATTCGGGTCAATGGAGTGATTGTGACATTGAAGCCAATAAATCAAGGAATAAACAAAAACTTGTTGACAAGGATTGGAAGAAAAGTATTTATAATGATTGCGACCAAAACATGAAGAACGAGGAGGAGTTCATTTATGTGCCGGCAATACATCCACCAAAAGATTTTGCTCAATACGTCAAAAGAGAGCAACAAATGAATTATTTTAAAGAATCACATTTTGATAAATATGGTTTGGATAACACGAGTCGTAAACCAATTCATAATAATAAACATCACGAAAGATCCGATGAGGAAACCCGTTGGAGACAAAGACAACGGAATACGGGTCGAGAGATGAGAGAAGAGATGAGTAATATTAAGCCACATGTTGTCGATGTTTTGCCGAAATACAAATTTGCTAAAACTGCTGATAAATATACTGAATCTTCCATTGGAACCGATAGAGAGAATTCAGAGCTGATTCTCGACTGGAATTATGCAAAACTAGACAGAAATGGTGGCAAAGAAAATGAAGATTACGAAACAAACAGGCCTTTGTCCAGATCTATGAATTTCATCAATCATATCAGTGGTAATCATTTTGACGACAGAAATAGTTTTTGTGTTTCAAACACACAAACAAATATTAACAATAATTTCTCGCTTAACACACAATTTAAACCGATTAACAGTTCGTTAAAACAAGATTTAAGTCAAAGCAATGGTTCACTCTCTTCAAGCCATAGCAAAAAGAAAGGCATCCGATCGTCGCTTCAGTCCTACTTCTTTACCGGCAATTCTACTCTCAAAAACACTAATAAAACAAATTTCAATAGTATTCAAAATATGGACGATTCGCTCAAATCATTTCCATTTCCCAAGACTTATAGAAAGAACTTTATAGTGAAAGGTCACGGAAATTGTGGCCTATATTCCGGCTTCGATCACAAGAATAATGAAACGCTTTCGAAGAATATGTGCGACGACCACAAGAATGCCTCCAACTCTAGTGTCAACGCTTTGATACATAAAGAGATCACAGAAGCGGCCAGAGATGTGGGCGCATGGCTTTGATCTCATACTTGATTTAAATTGTAATTATAAACAAAACTATTATTATTATTAACATAAAGTACAGAATATTACTTAATTAATGCATTAACGGGTTATGTTTTATAACAGATATAGATGTAATTACTATTAACTTTTTACGTTTTAAATATTTAAATAAAAATTATTTGAGTAAAATTTTATTGTGTAAATAACAACATTTACTGCTATTTAAATTTAGCAAAATTCTCTCTGTATTTATTCGGTCCATAAAAATTATAATAGAAAACAATTTTGATAGAAAGGCACACAATTCATCAATATAAAGTCAGTAAAAGTGAATAACATATAATGTATTATATAATACTGGTTATAAGCATTAGAGTTTAAAACCTTGAATATAATACTTTATTATTTAAGAATATATTTGTATGTTTTCAAAGATAAAATGTCGTGTGTTTTGTGTGTTTCTCAATGAATCTTTTTCATGGCATCCATAAGAAGCTGCACTTCACCTGTAATGATGCAAAATTCAAATAATTCCCATCAAATGTTATTCACTTATTTAACGCTTACTTTGAATATTTCTGGCCACAGATTCCAACTGAACTTTAGAGTCCAGAATCTCAACGCTTTGAGTGTAAGGATTATAACGGACTGTAAAGGGACGGGGAATTGAAAGCGCAAACTCCCTGTCATTTATTCATTCAAATTCAGATTAACATTCAATTCAACAATTAATGAGAGAGAGAGAGAGAGAGAGAGAGAGAGAGAGAGAGAGAGACCTCAGTTTTTGTTGAGCGTCATCAAAGCTTTCGGCCAAGAAATAGATGGGTTGGTATTGAGTGATCGGATATTTCTGATCTCCAGTCACGTACGGATCAAAATTCTTAAGCTCAGGCTTACCACTCATACAGTACTAAATATTTTCAAATATAATTTAAAATTGAGTTAAAACTGAAACGAATAATAAGTAAAACCTCTAATTCTCCAAAACTGGACAACAGTCCGGCGCCATAGGCTTTAATCTCTCCATTCTGTTTGCAAAGACCGAACTCAATGGTAAACCAGTAACAAGTGGCCAATTTCTCGATGTATTCATCGGGCGCTCCCAATGACGCCAAACCTATTTCTTGCGAAAACTTAGCAAAACTGGGATCAGCGAAGAGAGGCGCGTGGCCTAACAACTCGTGACACACGTCCGGTTCCGGTGTGTATAATGGCATAGAAGGGTGTCGTATGTATTGAGTGGTTTGAAACACTCTGAAAGCAAGTCCGGCCAAGAAGTCTCGGGAACTCAACAGTCCCGCCACTGGTCTCAGAGTAAATCCAGTGCAGTCTAGTTATCATTTTTATTTCACAATAAAGTTATTTCCCATTTTTATAATAATAACGAAATGTAATTAAATGCTATTATTTTTAGTTACCCTTTAGAAAGTTGGACACATCTTCGAGTTGAGGAATATTGTCGGCTCTATAGCCACAGTTTTCAATCATTAACGGGAATATATGGTTGTGTTCTCGACAGGCATGCGTTGGGTATAGTTTGATCAAATTGTTGAATACCTTACCCCAGGTCTCGGTTTCTTGTTTTGTATATTCAATGTGTGGAAGTTTTTCTCCACTGAATTTCAATATAAATTTAATTTTACATTTATATTTTTAAGTTTTTAATTTTAAAATTTTGCAATGAATATAATTGCTTACTATTTGTAGTGATATGCTAAATCAGCAAAGTATTTGCGTCGAGCTCTGTATTGGGTATCTGTGAACCCCTAATGAAATGCAAATTTAATTTTAAATTTAAAAAGATAATTTGATATTTTATAAACTAAAAACTTGAAATATTTGAAATTTTTTGATTTGATAGATATGTTGTAATATTATGTATAGTATTTAATATAGAATTGAAAATATATGACAAACGGGATGATCGGCATCCAATTCTGATCCATAGGAAAGTATATGGTTAGCAAATCTGTCCAAATCCTTAATACGATTTGGAAACCACGGGACACTTCGGGCGTTGTATGTCTGGTCACGGGATATAATTTGCAAATATTGTGTGAATTCTTTGATCTGATCCAAAGCCTTATTCAACGATCCATTCTGTGAACAACACTCCACTATAAACTCGTAGTCGTTGTTAAAGCGTTTCGATGATCGCGACTCAATTCGGCACAAATTCACGCCATTGTCCTAAACATAACAACTCTTATAAACCGCTCCTAAAATGACCAGAATTTAAATCTATGTATCCATACCTTAAAGATCTGAAGCGCGTCTGCGAGAGCGCCCACCTTCTCCTTCATCGAGAAGATGACGTGAAATGTATTGCCATTCTCTGGCAATGACTCCATTATATAGTTACCACTCTTTCTTTCCGGTCGTTTAGTATTCTTTGTCTCTTTCACATCACTTTCGGATGTGTTGACAATCTGTGAGTATTATAACCCAACGAATATTTGTTTAAATATGCAAATATTATATAGTATTGTAGCAAAACACTGATTAACAGATATAAATGTTAAGATGTTGTCACAAATTCTTGTTTCAAAACATTTTAATCTATTTATTTGTGCTGTAATTCCAAAACATATTTCATCAGAATTAACCTCAATATTGAAAATAACAAACAAATTCAATGAGATTTTAATTAAGTGTAATTAATATCATTGAATACTAATCCAATGGATATCTAATCCAATAGTTTTATAGCATTTGGCATTTTCTCTAATCATATTAATTATTCATAATTTAAATTTGTACACTTAATGCTAAAATTAGCATAATTTATAGTTAAGGCAGACATAAAATTGTAATGAAAGACAAAATAATTATTTTATAATTAGATTAAATATCACATACAGACTGAATAAAGAAAATATAAATTGTCATTTCCAAGCATTATATTAAAATAAAATAAAACAAAAATTAAATTAAAATCACCTTATAGGTTATTTAGAATAATTTTAATGATTCTGTTATTTTATTCTGCTTATAATGAAGTCGATTCATTAACGGTATTTAATAACTTTTAAATGTATTAATTTTTATTGTTTAAAGCTTTAGTGTCTTTTTATAATTTTCTTTACAAAGCAATAGTAATTATACATAAACCAAATGACTGGCATTGAAATATTATAATTAAAAAATATATAAGAAACAAAAGTTAAAAATGCAAATCTTTATAATAGTTTAAAAGTGTGTTTGAATGTGAGAACTCACCTCTCCCTCGACATCGACGACCATTTTGTACAATGTTTTTCGGTTTTAAACGCAAAAGAAATGTGAAGTAAATAAAAGTAGTTTTGATGTAAACACGAATGAGTTTGAAAGCAAATTAAATTAAAATCTTCTGCAAATCTTTGAAAAGTGCCAAAAAATGCTTTCAAATGATTTTTCAAATCCTTGACTGTGGGGTCACCTGTTTTATAGCCTATGGGCTGATCACATATTTATTGGTCTTAAACAGGATTTCCCAATATATGTAGTGATACAACACGACAGCGTCGACGACAATGTCTCTCTATGGCGGCCCTAAAACTCTGTCCTTGTCTTCAATTGATTGTCAAAATAACTCTTTTTATTAAAAGTATTTAATAATACGAGATCTGAATATTTATTAGATTCAACACATATTTGATTGAATAATTAATTGAAATTATATTTGTGTAGCTTTTATAGAATATTAAATAGTATTTAGTATTTGCGAAATGATTGGCTTTTCTAGTCCTTGAGTTATAGAAAAACATAAATAACAAGAATTAGACCTTATCTTAAAATTAAATAAATGTGTTTGAAAATTGTTTTATTAATTAAATAACTTTTAAATCGCACTTAAAATACACTTTACATGTAAATAAGTGAATTATGAAAGACCTGACAAAGATTGTCATAATTTATATAACTTTCACAGATTTATGGCATACAATAAATTAATTAATTTAATGCCTGAAATTCTGTTAAATCTATAGTTTTGTAAACATATTTAAATTGAGTTATTAATAATTGGTTAAAACAATTTGCAAAAAAAATATTATGTGAATTTATTAAACTCATGGTAATAGAACTTATTGAACATTTTTGCAAAAGTTACTGTATACAAGTATTACAATAGTTGCATGAGTTGTATATTTGTCTTATTATTTCGTTAAATTCAAAATTGTATCCAATTGCATTGTATTGAAATTATATAAAATATAAGTATAAAATGTATTTAAGTAATATATTAAATACTATGTGTTATTATTTAAAAGATTAGATTTTGAAACAATTAGTTTAATTAAGTATTATCACTGTTTTTATATAAAGTTATAGGGAAAGTAAAAATATAAAGTTTTGGTCTAATTATAAGAAGGCATGCGTTAAATCTGATTACTGGTTGAATAGAGAGCATTGCATACAATGTGTAACAAAAACAACTATTTTATGTAATAAAATGATTAAAATGAAAAAAATAATGCCAAGAATTGTTGCTATGGTTTGCTATTTAGGATGCATTGAAAGTGCGTTAGAACTGAATGCAAACATTCAAAGAACTCTTTGCTCAATGAAATACATGGGAACAGAATATATAGTATATACAGAATATATAGATTACACAGAATATATTGAATACACAGAATATATTGAATACACAGAATGTATAGAATATACAGAATATATACATTTTACTTATATAACACTGTTTATAAGGTATACGCAGAAGCCGTCTAAGCATTGATCATTGAGTTCACAGAATTTGCCTTTAATTCAGTGTATTGTTAGACCAATTGATCAGACATAATGTGCCACCAAATAAAGTTAATCTCATTTCAAAATTTCAAAATAATAATAATTAATCTCTTAATATATAACATGTAATACAAATGTCATAATTATATCATAAAAAGATTTTTATAAAATAAGCATAAATTGCTATAAGAGTGCGAATTGGTGTTCAATTGGTAAGAATTTTTATATTATAAAAATACTTTAGTATTAAAAATATTGTATATGATATGTCGACTTTAATGTCGTAATGAATATAGAGTTGGTTTTAAATGTTATGTCATATACCATAAATGTCAATAATTCAGTTACTGTTTACCATTGTGTATTGTTTTATAAGAGTTATACAAACATACATTATTGACATTTATTTCAATAAATATAATTTATAATCACAATTCCTAACCGGGAAATTTTATATAAGGTTTTAAATAATTAATTCTATTTTTAATGGCAATGTTGACTGTGAGGTATAATATAATTGATATTTAATGCATTTTTAGTGTACAGTATATCTCTAAATTAAGGTTATGTCATATGATTTGTTAACAGAATATGTTATGTTATATTCAATTTACATGAGTTAAAATTAAATTATATTCAATTTAAAGTCTAAAAATTTTAAGTTCATTTTATGTATATTTGCATATAATATTTTAACATTCTATTTTTTATTGTATATAATATTACAGCATAAACATATTTTATAATTATTTCATGTAATTATTGTTTTTAAAATTATAATTTTATGATTTTATCAAAAATATAATTTATATGTAGATAGAAAACATATTTTACAAAACAATCATTTTCGCTGCATTTCTTCATAACTGTGCGTAAAACTCATTGGAGATTATAGTTATGTAAAAAGTATTATGTTTTAAACGTGCTTCAAATTAAAATGAGTTAACTCGTAAAGCCATTGCATTATCAGTTATTATATATAAATAATTTTATGTAAAATTCTAAAAAGTAAAACCATTTAAACTTTATTTTATGTGTTATATACTGTACTGTTCTAAACCATAACACAATATACAGTATAGTTCTCTATTGTAATGTGTTTATCAAGAATTATTAATAATATGTTCCCAGAATTGATATCAATTAGAAAGCAATACAATTAAGTCTATGCTATAAAATACAGGTGTTTTTGACTTTAATTCTCTCATATATTCATATGAAACAATAGCCACATATACATAAAAGTATAGTATTTCTATTATTTAACATTAATATAAGTGCCGTTTGTTATATTTAATAGAAATAAGTGAATTCATAACACGAATCTTATATGATATCTATATAAATTCAATGAATTAAATATTTAGTCTTTGATATAATTATCATATTATGGTAATTAAGAAATTATTGTTTCTGTGCACTAATTGTTTAGTAAATTTTATATTTCAGGTGTTATTCACATCAAATTCTGGAGCTTTTTAATATAGTAGAGCATAAAACATAAAACAGTATACATTATAAAGCATAACCACATATTGGCTGTCATAGAGATATCCAACCGATTATGTCATAAATCATAGGGAATTGCAATTATGGTGTTTCTCTTGAGTGAAACCGAAAAATTATTAATAATAATAATCGCTTCCTCACTGTTCTTATTGAGTCTAATCATAACGATATGCTTTGTGTCACCCGTTTGTTGGCTTCACAAATGGTTTATTGAATCCAACGCTAAGAAGAAAGAGGACATCAAAATCTGTTACTCAGCGAAACAACTTCTAACACAAGAGTCAAAGCACTTCCAGCTGTCAGTCATACCACACTATGGGGCCAATAGTGAAATTGGATCAAAGCATAAATCCAAACATATTAACGAAGTCTCCATACAAGTCGACCAAAATAAGGCTAAAAAGCAATCGATCGCTTCCGAGGAATCGGTGTCACTAAACACGGGGTCCATTAAATTGGAGATCAGATACGAAACCATTTCTAACGCTAGTATTCGGCTCTTCATTAACATAATCGAAATCTCGAAACTTAAACAGAGAGACTATTTGGTCGACCCGTCTTGTTATGTATCCATCATTTTAGTCGGTCTTAAGAATAGACGCAGAAGTCTTATCAATAAAGGTATTCATAATTTGCTATTATTTTATTAATTATTATAACATTAATTAACAATTGTGTGCGAAATGTTCACATTGCCAGCCATTCCGAGTGCATTATACCGCACGTCTACTGCTAAACGATGCCTTAATCCAGTGTTCAATGAGTTATTTGTCAGCCAAGACTTACCGAAGAGTATATTAAAGGACGGATTGCTCCGAATAAAGGTATTCGACGACGAAAGGTATGCCAATGATCTCTGTCTCGGAGAAGCGACCGTTCATCTCAAGAAAGTGGACAATACGGCAGACAATTTAATTAAGGAGTACTCACTCTTGTCGTCAAAAGAGGTATTGAATTATTTATTCAAATTGTTTAAATTCTTGTAAACTAAACACCGGTTATTCGGTTTTGTTCGTACAGTGTATTAAGAATTACATAATCTAGGTCACTATATTCTAACCAATATAGCGTTTATATTATTTTGTATTTGTAGTCAAAGGGCGAGCTATTGATCGGATTGTGTTATTTGCCGACCTCTAAACGGGTCACAGTTTCCATAATGAAAGCAACACTCAGTCACTCGACAAACATTCAGACTTCAAATACCATTTGTAAGTTAAATAAATGTAAATTTCATTATCATTTCAGTACTTAATTAGATGTTTAATAACTAATCCAAAGGTTATTACATTCGGGTTCTGCTATTCATTAACGGAAAACTAATGAAAAAGAAAAAGACGGCCACAACTCAGAAGATGGTTTGGGGCGACAATGAGATCCTCACCTTTGACCTGATGTCGTTCGAGAGCTCAGAGTCGGCCTTCATGTTTGTGCTGTCGTTCAAACAGGAGAGCTCTCAGTCTCCCTCATCGCCAGAGACGCCGGTTGTGGCCGAAGGCGAAGAGTCGCCTAAAGACAGACATATCGGACACTTCATTGTCGGCCAAGAGATGTGGCATCAGATGAAACAACAGCCCAGAAAACAGATTACGAAATGGCATAAACTCTATTGAATTCAATGTCAGATAAACACACGTATGTCTTAACGGATGTCTTAAGAAAGTGGCCAAACATTAAATTGTAATTAAGCTGTGATTTCAATATCCTTTAAGAATATTTAATGGAAAGTCCATTTATTTGTGTTCATAATATTGTTATTAAGATTACAGTAAAATATATATATAAATAACTTTCAAAACAATCACTTTTCAATCCATTTAAATCTAATCGCTTCTCCTTTTATCACTTTTTTCATTCGTTTTACTAACTCTTGAAACAAAATGTGACGAAACTATTAATGTTTAAGAAAAAAGTTTACTATTAATACTGTTATTCATTCAAATAATATATTAAATAAAATACTCAAAAATTAATACCTTTTTTGGATTTTGTAATATCAATAATCTTAAAATTTTCGGATTTATTATTGTCGCCGCCGACGGCTATAATGAAAGGCAGGTCTGGATTGCAATTCAAACTCAAAACAGCGCCGATATTTAGATCAGAGAATTGTGTTATAAAATGAGCGCTCGTGTCGTCAACGTCCCAAACCTTTACCAGTTTATCAATGGATGCTGTGATCAGACATCCATTGCAATGACGACTGTATAACAAGACATTAATTAAAACAAAACTCAGATAAATGGCTAATGCGATACAATACCTAAGGGACAGACCGGTGACCGAATCCGTGTGTGCATTGATTGAATAAATGGCTTTCTTCTCATTGCGGACGTCATAATTGAAAACATTTCCATCAGAAGTGGAGCAGAAGAATGTGTATGGATTGAAGTGATTCCAAATCACTTTCTCGACCTCACAATTCTCGCCCACTTTCCACTTCTTAAAGCCTCCGCTTTGACAGTCGGCTATCGAAACGATTCCATTGGTGTCACCAATGAGTAGTGTCTGCGCTTCAAACGGATGAAATTCAATGGACTGTACGTTACTCTTGAAGTGATCGAAACGTGTAATGATTTGACATTTTTCTAAATCCCAAACACAAGAGCTTTGATCGGCGGAAGCGCTCGCAAGCATTTTGCGGATGTTTGCATTCCACGAGAGGTCCAGAACTGAGTCCTCGTGTCCCACAAGTTTGTAGACGGGCTCTAATGAGTTGACGGTATCGATGTCCCAAATGGTGATCTCTTTGCCCATATCACCGATTCCTACATAATTGACCGGTTCTTCGCTACTGGAGCTGTAGTTAATCCACTCCAAGCATATGGGATAAGAGCCAAGTATGATGTCGTGATGAACGTAATGCTCGTCCTCCTCGTTGTAAACTAATATCAAATATTTTATTTATAACTATCTGTAAGACAAGTCCATTCAAAACACTCACCCCTCACTTCAAGGACAGAGGCATCACTTTCAACGTGTCCGACAAGAACTAAATTATCAGTCGGTTTGATCCGAAAGTCTTCATTTTCATCCGATTCCTGTTTTTGTATTTCAAATCAATTTTAGTCACCATTTCTTTCAAATGCAAATCATAGGCATATGTTTACGTCTGAATTGTCATCGTTTTCAATATACGGGTCTTCAGTATTATCTCCATAGACGGTAAGACTGGCCAAAGCGCTCAAACTATTTGTTCCCAACTCTCCTTCGCTGTCCTCATCGTAATTATCTAAACCGTATTTCTCTACTATATTGTCGTCGTTTTGGCCATTTTCTGCCACTTCTTCGTCCGATACACTCATCTGATCGTCATTTCTATCAAACAATACAATAAGACAATCAATGGCTATACAGATAACGTAACATTGGGTGACATACTGTTCATCTGATCCGTGCTGTTGTTTGTGTTCATCGATGATCCGTTTGAGATCATCTTTGGTCAGTTGGACAGTGTTTGGCACTTCTTTGGCGACACCTCTTCTGATCCAATAAACAGATGAAACGAAATTAATTTTACTCATTATTATTGTCTCACAAATGAGTAAATCATTCACACGTTTGGACCGCAAAAACACGTGTTTCTTATGATTGGCGTTCAATTGAGTGCCAAAACACAACTAAAACATCAATAAAAACACATGTTTTTCAGAGAAAACCCTCACTTTTGGGGCAATTTTGGGTCTCTTTTCGGGGATTTTTGGCGAGAAATAAGTGAAGCTTTGAGTGAATGACTGAAAACTGTTTCAATGTTTTGATAAACAAATAAAAAGCAAAACATTTTCAATGAATTCAATGTTTAGATTGAATTGAATTGCGTTTTGTGTGAGAAATGCGTTCAAAGCGTTACACAAGTGACCAAACGATGCGATGGTTTGATCCACACGTGAAGAAGTGATGACCAGTGATGACAAGAATGGTTGACAATTGACACCAAAATGATTGGTTTGTCGGCCAATGACAAGAGATGGCCACCAATTGGTTCACACCTTAAGTGTAAATTCAAATCACTGTTGCGTTGGATTCCGATCCACGTCTTCATCAACATCTGGTTCTCCATTGTCTTCTTGTGTCTCATCGGTTCCGCTCTCTATATCATCACCATTTGGTTCACATCCCTGTCGTCCATATCTTTGGCCGACATCTCGTTTGACGAATTGAGACAAAAGTCAACTCATCTGACACTACAAGAAACCAAAGACAGAATTATAAACAATGGCCACAATTCAGTTCAGGTGATGATCGATGACAATCAGGTGTCGCCGCCGACGGCCACCAACTCATTGTGCAATCACTTCAAGTGCTTCGATGTCTATCGTTGTGGTAATTACGACAATACAATCACTTTGAATAACGAAGAGCTCATTAATGTATATATTTATCCATCGATTGATTTCATTGATTCAAATCACAAATCAATGTTAAGTCCATTTTCACAACAATATCGCGAACTCTTGGAAGCGATTATATCGAGTCCTTACTATACGGCCGACCCCTCAAAGGCCTGTCTTTTTATACCAAACATTGATTTACTAAATGATAGAAATGTCAAATCGGATGAGATATCAGTGATATTGGGATCACTGGCCCATTGGGGTCGCGGAGCCAATCATATCATATTCAATATGATTTCCACATCTCTTATTCACTATAACTCAAGAAGTGATCTGAATATTGGCGACGCGTTGATAGCGGGCGCCGGCTTTGACTCTTGGAATTATAGACCAACTTTCGACGTCTCGATTCCGGTCTTCAGTTTATTTAGTTATGAATATAAGGAGAAAACGTTTAACGAAAAGAGCATTTTAGACAATAAACGAAAATGGTTTGTGATTTGCACTCAATTTGATTCCGTCTCCGCCGGTGATCAACAAATACTCAGTGCTCTCGAGTCTCAACACTCGGAACAACTATTAATTGTCTCAAGAAAACAATGCAATTATAATAATAGACATGAAAACGAGACTCAAATGTGCAATAATGAGCGAAATATTGAACTTAATTATCCCAAAGTGTTGAACGAATCGACGTTTTGTCTCGTTTTAAAGACAAGATTCTTAGGCCATCCGCTTCTTAGCGATTCATTGATGTCCGGATGTATTCCTGTCGTCATTTCGGATGAATATGTGCTTCCATTTGAAGAGGAGATCGATTGGGTGACAGCGTCTGTGAGAATACGATCGCATTCTATGCCTGATTTGATGACAATTTTGACATCGATTTCGGAGAAGAATATAAACGAAATGAGAACTCAAACTACTTTCCTATGGAAGACATACTTTAGTTCAATGAAAGCGATCGCTTTAACCACTCTTAGGATAATAAATGAACGAATTTTCCCAAATTCTGCTCAACCGTCAGAGCACTGGAATCGACTCAATCCCTCCCTCACCTCTAATTATGCAATAATTAGTCATAAATATTCTTCGCGACAATCAATAGGTTTTACTGCAGTTATACTGACTTACGATCGTTTAGAAAGTCTTTACGAAGTGATCAGAAGTGTAGTGAAAGCAAAGAGTTGTGTGAAAGTAGTGGTCGTTTGGAACAATCAATTGAAAAGCGCTCCTAAAAGGAGTAAATGGCCGGACATTCACATCCCTTTACAGATAATCACAACCAAAGAGAATAAGTTGAGTAATCGCTTCTATCCCTACGAATGCATCGAAACCGATGCCATTCTAGCCATCGATGACGACATCGTTATGCTAACCGCCGACGAACTAGAGTTTGGTTATCAGGTTTGGCGTGAATTTCCCGACCGTATCGTTGGCTTCCCATCTCGTGTGCATCGATGGGACAATCGGACAAACAAATGGAAGTATGAGTCCGAATGGACTAATGATGTATCGATGGTGTTGACCGGCGCCGCCTTCTATCATAAAGTAACACACTTTTCATTTCTAGTGTTTTGTAATACTTATGAACTTTTCATTTTGTTTTTAGTATTACAATCATTTGTATACAAACTTTATGCCCAAAGAAATCAAGTCATGGGTCGATCAACATATGAATTGCGAAGACATTGCAATGAATTTTCTGGTAATTTGTTGTTTTTAATGACTACTTTAGTTAACATTAGATATCCCGGTAATAATGTTAATAATGTTTTGATGGTTTAGGTGTCGAATGTGACGGGAAAGTCGCCCATTAAAGTGACGCCAAGAAAAAAGTTTAAATGTCCCGAATGTGTAAACAATGATATGCTTTCGGCCGATGTTTTGCAACATTTGAACGATCGATCCGATTGTATAAACCATTTCGCAGCTATTTATAAGTCAATGCCGTTAATAGCTGTTGAATTCAGGTAACATTTAATTTAAACATTTTATTTGTAATAACTTTTAATTGAATTATGTTTTTTGTATGTTTAGAGCGGATCCAGTCTTATATAAGGATAATTTGCCTGAAAAACTAAAGCAATTTAACTTAATTGGCAGCTTATGATAGAAAATAATATATTTATTTATTTGATATGAAATTTATTTATATAACTATTTATTATTTAAAACATGAATTCATAAATTTTTATAAAAAAATATCATAAAACTTAACCTTAAGTGTGATTTTAGACATAATATTTAAATGAATAATAAATACTTAAAAATTATTGTTATTAATTGACTACAGAATTATTTGTGTGTAAATAACACATTAAATGTTGTCATTCAAGACATTGGTGTAAACCGTAAGATAACACGAAAGGCGTTGTAATCGGAATCTGTCGACAAAGTCTAGTAACAGAATTCGGTTCTTATCGTTAATATGAGTGCAATAAGCGATGAGAATATACATGAATGCATCCAAATTGTTCACATCTATTCCTCTCATTAGACATATCTTGAGAAGTCCGAAATCGGACGACAAATTGAGATACAGATTACGAGCGCCCGTCCAGTCCTTCCAATTCTCTTCCAATAATGTATTGAATGTTTTGTCAACTGTTTTGAATCCAACAAAAATTTGCGCACAATTTGGTCCTCCCGTTAGTGCCGTACCGTTTGAATGTGATTTTGTGCCATTCGTGTGAACATTGCTTACAATCACTGGTATTTCAATGCTTTCAATCTCTTCGTAAAGCACTTGAGAAGATGTAAATTCTTTCCCAAGTTTTGCATTCATTTCAATGTCATTGCAGTCATTGAAGTCATTTAAAGGCAAATAATGCAAAACCGGATAATTAACTATTAATTTGGTAAAATAAATACAATCAGAAAATATGTTAACCTATTTGTAAATATGCGTTAAACACACAAACAATACAGAAAAACAGTTATTATACAATACCTCCGGTTTCCAGTGTTTGCCAAATATGTCCTAATTTACTGAAATAGCCATCACTTGACACCGCCTTTAATATTAGCTCTTTTTGTTGCAAATACGAGATTTTGATTTCTTTTTTAACACAAATCAACGAAATTTTCACTAATTTTCGCTTCAAATCTTTTTTAACCATTAAAGACATGATTTTTGGATGAATTTGAAGTATTATTTAAAATTTTGATGCTATGCAGAAAAATTGATAACATTTAAAAAATTGCTTAAGACTAGTGCACAAAACACACTTGGTAAATGATTACTTAATTAGAAATAGAGTATATTTATCATCAAATAATATTTGTACTTAATAATATATTCAAAATTTATACAACTTCCACATTAATGATAGCGTAAAATAATTGGTATAAAATTTACGTCCAATTAACTAATTTGAAACACAGATTAAACGTTTCAAACAATAATTTGACGATAAAATAAGTATTAATTGGTCGTACGGTTTGTTCACATTTTGTTAACAATTATAATAAACAGTTTGATTTAAAACGTGACTTTTCATAAGCTCTTATAAAATCAAATACTGAACATTAAATGATCGTAAAAACTACTATAAGACAAGTTTTAAAACATTTTGTATGAATAATAATTTTTTAAACAATCTCTTGGAGTGATTGAGATGTAGACAACATTTTAATATCAGTATTAACTTATACTGCATTGGAATCTATAATAATTATCAGATAATAGAAATATGTATTATAAGAAATTGAGATCAAGTTATGTCAAAACATACAAAATATAATTTGTATTTTTTGTTACAAAACAATTTTATAAGACATATATAACTACAAAAAAATAAATACAAAAAATCTAATCATTGAAATATGCCGTACAGTATATCAAGCGATAAGAATAATATCTGTAATAAGGATTTAATATAGACTTACATTGAGTTGCAATAAAGTAATCTCTTAAGCCTTCACTTGATTTAGAAGTTTGTTTATTTGTATTTTGATTTTTACACAATTTATCGTTACATAAATGATTTACAAATAATATAAACTGAAAATTCATACAAAATGTGTGAATTATTATCAATAAATTAATTAAAAATATTTGTTTTCAATCTATTTTATAGACACATTTATATTTTTCAAAACACATTGAGTCTCACAATTTGTTAAAACAATACAGATATTAATTATTTTAAGTAAATCTTAATTATAATAAGAAAAAAGTTTATTTCCTAATACTTATACAAAACTCGTTTTATATTAATATCACAATTAAAAACCATTAAAAATCTAAAACACAGCAAATATAAAAACTAGAATTCATTGCAAACAAGAATTTATTTCCAAAACCGTTTGTGACTTCAAATTCATGGCACAGCATATATACACATAATAATAGCAATTGTTTTACAATTTTCTATTGTAGTTAATCTGCAAAACAAAGTTTTCACATCTCATTGAAGTTCTCTTGGATTTTATAAGAATAACAATCAAAATGCTATCATATATAAGGACTGCTTCCCAAGTATTGACCTATACTTTTAGTGTGAAATTTTGCCACCAATTAAAATATAGATCGTAGACATAGTCTGACAAATATTAATATACAAAGTATACTTTGAATAATTAATAGATTTAAAATTACGCCCACTATTAGTTGATGTATTAATTTCATATACTTCATGTTATTTCTTTTTGTTTTTAAGCAAATTATTTTAGAGGAGTTTTTCTCGTAATAGTATTACAAATAGAATAATATAATATTTTATGAATTTGAAAAAGTATACAATGTTTCAAATAAAGGCTGACTTGCAATACGATAACTGTAAGTGATGTGAGGAATGCTATGAATTCATTCAGAATGCATTCAAACCCATTCTTTGCAATCTTATGTTTATTGTGTAAAAAATTAAAACACTATTCATTAAACCATTATACAGTAGACATTAGTAACAATATATAAACTATTTAATTAATTACATGTCAATAATCAATCAAGATATTTTAAGACAGTTTTAGTCGGAAAATAACAAATATTTGACAATTGGGGTGATATTAGACAATTATACATGTTCATTAATGCATTTATTATTAATAAAAACATATGAACGATTATTTTGAAAAATGCTTTGTTTTGTGCAAGATTATTTGTTGTTATGCACCACAAATAAGTTTGTGTTTTCAACAAGAGTTGAATAAAATAGAAATTTAATGGTGAAAATTTCTTGCTGTAATCAAACCTAAGCTATAGATTATTGTGGGAGAAATCAAAAGAAATTTTCCACTAAATTGTCGGAAAATATTGCAAATGCATGTAAACGTTAATTTTACTACACTTGACAACAAAATGCCCAGGGATCATTATGCATTTTGCTATAGTACAGTATATCCTATAGTATAGAATCTATACTGTACTGCAGTTATTAATTTATAGTACAATAATAATTATTATATGTATATTATAATAATTATACTATGCATAAACTCTGCAATATTTAAATTATAAATGAATTAAAAGGTTATTTACAATATTGCAAAATAGAGAGCAATTTTCTTTTAATTAATTATTTAGACATTTATGTCAATATTTTGTTAGTATTTAGTCCGTCATAAAGTATTGGCCCAGCCGAATTTCAATTATCTCTTAAACTAAACGAGCTAGACCAAATCTGTAAAAAGTAAAATAGAGTTCCATATATCTAGTTTTTTGTATCAAAAAATTTTTAATATCACGTGACCAGAACACAGAAAATTTTGGGTCAAATCGATTTGCCATATTTTTTGCCCACCTCGAGGGGGGCTAGGAAGGGGGCGGGTATGTGGTTGGGTAGATGACATATGAATGTATATGATATGAAAGTTTCATAAACATTGAACAGATATTTTTTCGTAACGAACAATATATTCAACAAATTTGGCCCAATATTTGAACAAAATTACCCCAATTTTGCTTATTTTATACAACATTTTCGTAGTTATAAAAAGTCGACTCCAGAACCATTTTTTCCCATAGATCTAATGTTAACAAAATTAACAATTTTTCTTAAATGGCTGAACGAATCCTAACCAAACTTTCATATCATAGACATTCATATGTCATCTACCCAACCACATACCCGCCCCCTTCCTAGCGCTTCTCGAGGTGGGCAAAAAACATAGCAAATCGATTTGACCCAAAATTTTCTGTGTTCTGGTCACGTGATATTAATAATTTTTTGATACAAAAAACTAGATATATGGAACTCTATTTTACTTTTTACAGATTTGATCTAGCTCGTTTAGTTTAAGAGATAATCGAAATTCTGCTGGGCCAATACATTATGACGGACTAGATATTATTTGTAAGCTATAAATAATACTATGAAATAAAGTATATTTTTATCAGGCATTGGATTTTATGAATTTTTAATAATTGTTTTTTACAATTATAATACAACATCAGTTCAAATACTATATCCAAATAATGTGTTTTACAGGTGTTTAAATAAATTTGTACAATATTTTAAATTGAGGACATTTTAACTAATTATTATTACTTATTTCATAGTAAATATAATTAAACTTTTAAAATAATTTTAAAAATATTTATTCAGTTTATATATTTAGCAATAATCTGTGTTAGTATAATGTAAACTATGTAATGTATACTAAATTTAAATTGTTATATAATGAAACGTAACAATGTACTTCGCTAACATTGTATTTCGTTTTGTGGATATGAAGTGGGATTAACAATGAGTTTAATATTAGACAAAATGTGTTAATTTTAAATTTAGTTTTTATTAAAAACCTATTTTTATAATAAAACATTTAAATTATTAAACATTTAATGTATAGTCAGTTGAATTAAAAGACAAATTTAATTTTAAACATGTAAAATTATAAAATAAAGTTAGAAAAATAATTTTAAAACTGTCCCTTCAGTCTGGAAGTGATGCGATTGCCATACTTTGCGTTGAAATAAAAAAATGATTTATTCAATGAATTTGCAATTTGTTAACAACAGGTGAATCATTGTCTTCGCTATACTTTTATATATACTGTTATATCTGTTTTAATTGTGAGCATTGAATAAGACCTGTATAGGCGGTGTGTGAGTGAGTGCACAGAATTTATATACCCATTATATAATGGTGTGAGTGATATATAATATGGTATTAATTTCTTATTACAAATCATTCTCGCTTTTTTCAGTGTATGCCTAAGACTTCGTTAACGATATGAACGGTGCATGAATTCATTGTTATATAAGACATACTGTACTTAAAATCTATTATAATTAATATTTGAATGATATGTATTGACTGACTGTCTAAACATATGGTGTCAAAATGAGTGTCTGCCATAAGAGTCATACAATTGCAAAAATAACAGAATTTGCTGAAATTGCAGACATTAATAATAATAACAACAATAATAACAGTAATACTACTGAATATCAACGAAGAATGAGTACATTTGAAACTAAATGCACGCAAAGAAAACTTTCTCAAAGCAATGGACGGAATACTAAAAAAGTCGATTATAGACGATATCGTTCGGGCTCTTCATCTGATTCTGCAATAAATTTGTTAGTATTTTATTTTGTGTTTATTTATCCAATTACTTAATATTTTAAACTTATCTTAATTCACAAATTAGTGACAATTCATTTGAAGGGAATGACGAGCATATGCTTCAAGAAACTACTGATATTTTTGAGGACTTTAATGAAATGATTTACAATTTTGCATGTCTTATATCACAAAAACAGGTAATCCTTGTAGATATACAGTACATATACATTTGATGACAGTATACTATTATTATTATCTAATACTTGTTAACAAAGTGCACGACAATTATTAATTGGTTAAAAATTATACTTTTGTTTAGATATCATCGGATTCAGCAATATTTAAAAGGATATTCACCTTAATGAAGAAATATTATAATTATGCTGAAACTGAGAAATGTATGGATAAGTTTGGATTTCTGGCAAATCGAGATGAGGTGACACAAGAGATCATGAATTCCTTATACATCGAACAATTGATGAGTGAATTATTAAACACTAATTCAATCAAATACTGGTCAGAAAGTTGTCAAAGCATTAAATGTCTCATAAGAGACTACGGAATTCCTAATGCTATTAGGGCTCAAATTTGGCTCATATTTATCAAATCCAAAATAGGCGATGAGTTGGACGTAAATATGTCTATAATATATTAAATAATTAACATTAAATTTAATTCCTATGAATCTATTTTAGATTAAAAACATCTTAAATGAAGCGTCAAATTATAAAGACGAAGAATTACTGGAATCCCATAGCGATGTGTTTCGTCAAATAGATTTGGATGTGAAGCGAACGGTTCCCAATCATAATATGTTTGCCAGCGATGATAATGGGGTACAATTTTTATAAGTTATAAACTGTGATAGATTTTAATTTAAAAATGATCTTGATTAAAAGATTACAAAATTACGAAATATTCTCATTGGATACTGTATTTGCGTTAACCCGTCAGTCGGTTATTGTCAGGGAATGAATTTTATTGCAGCTCTTCTTCTCATTGTATTTGATGGCAATGAAGAGCACTCTTTAATGTATGCATTATTTGTTAAATCACAATTTTGTTTAATTTATTGAAATTATATATTATTATTATAATAGGGGTTTAATAGCAATCATTGATCACTATTTTCCTCCTCATTATTATGATCATCATTTAACAGGTATTTTGATTACATTTATTAATTTTATAATATACAGTATATCAACAAAATAATATATGTTATATTGTTTAAAATACAATTTAAAACTCTATTTACTAATTTACTACTACTTAAATACTTTCTAAACAATTATTATTTAAATTAAAATACTATATATTTCTACATTATTGTTAATATTTATCAATTAAGGCAATGTTTTTCTATAATATATACCTTTAATTGTTTGTATGTATTAAGGCGTTCGAGCGGATCAGATGCTTCTCAAAGATCTGATAACATGCATGACATCCGACAATAAACTTCATTTCAACGAACAGATGCTCGAAGAGATCACAAATGCTTTGTCTCTCAACTGGTTTCTGTCTTTATTCCACTCATCACTTCCCT